GATATTAGCAGAAACCCTACAGGCGGCAAAAAATCATATCTAAGGCAAATAACCCCAAAACAACCAAGATCCTCTTCCAAAAAACAAGGAGGATCCTCTGAATAAATGGCATGGATTTCGGTGCAAATCCCACAGAACTAGGAGCTGCTCTATAAATATTGTATGATGCCTCCAGTAAAAGATATATATGTATAACCCTAGGAAGACCAGAGGTTGAATGAAAACCGCATTCCCCACTTCTGAAACAAAAGAAATAAGAATCTCCATTGAATAGTGGACTAGCTGAGTTCCTGTGTCGGTGAACCACTATACTATCACTGTGCAATCTCCCCCAATTCTCCAATAATTTCTACTTGATTCTCATAAGTCTTGTAGCTCAACTCTAGGTCACCGGGTGCCATTCATTCTTTCTGCTCGTCTATGGGAGTTTACACCATCAGCTTGGCGCCATCTGTGGGAACGATTGTTCCTATTACAATTACGTTGATCTTTTAGTAACTGATGGTTTCAACTCGTAACATGAGCAGAAGCCAAAACAATCTACCACAAATGCAGGATGAACAATAAATTATCACCGACAGATTACCCAAGAACGTCATAGGGGCTAATCCTCTTGTGGGGGATCCCCCTGTGAATAACGAGTTGGAGGCCCTTCGCCTAGCTAATTAGCATCTGTTGCAGCAGAACGAGGAGCTTTTGAAGCTCCTACAACGCCCTCAGAAGGCACGACCGGCCCAAGAAAGCCAGAATAACCCACCTCACAGAGAACAACAACACCTCGATCCCCTCATAGAAGTTAATGAGGGAGGGAAAAATAGCCAGACCTTGGGATAGGTTCCCCATCAACCTCTTGGGAATGGACACAATGAAAAAGTGCAAAGTCAAAACAATGGGGGTGAGGGGAATGATTATTTTTCTTACCAGCAAGAGAGGAGAGAACAATACTGGGAGTAGCATTTCAAGGACATCCAGCAAGAGCTCAGACATATAAAGGAAGCTGTGAAGAGCAAAGCCCCAGTAACAATGGATGCCCAAGTGCAACAGACTGAGTCCCCTTTCACTACTGGCGTGCTGTATTTTCCCCTCCCCCCAAAATTCAGAATACCACAGATAGAAGTTTTTGATGGGACAAAAGATCTCGTGAATCACCTCAATACCTACAAGAATTAGATGGAGCTGCATGAATATCAAGATCCTGTGCACTGCAGAGCCTTTGCTATCACATTGAAGGGATCAACCCTTGCGTGGTTTAATAGGCTCCCTCCGCTTCGATCTCTTCTTTTAAGGAGCTTTCCATATGCTTTGTATCTCACTTCATAGGAGCTCAGACATATCGAAAGCCGAGCTACCACTTATTGAACGTGAAGCATGCACCTCAAGAGAACCTCAGGTCTTATGTCCAGAGTTTCAATTCGGAGTCACTAAAAGTAGATGTCCCAGATGAAAAGTTTGCCATTACCGCATTTATAGCTGGGTTAGACATGCAGTCCAAAGATCTGATGTTCTCTATTTCGAAGAACCCTCAGGCCAGTGTGGCTGAGGTGCTGGCCAAGGCAGAAAAAGACATAAACGGTGATGAAGCACTTCTCTCAAAGGTGGGGAGCTCATCCATGCTAAAAGATAAAGGAAAAGAAGAGAGGAAGAGGAACCAAATTCCCAGAAGAGAAAGAGGATGAGATAGGTCTCCAAGAAGAGACAGAGATGCTCCCCCAAGGGAAGGATAGACGTCAGAGATCACCTAGGACCACCGCAGCCAGAGTTGCAGCCGAGATACGCACCTCGGAAGCTCCCTCCTCTCACTACAACAATATCGCAGATCTTGTATGAGGTGCAGAACGAGAAATTCATAAGATGGTCACTTCGGATGAAAGCAAACCCAACAAAAAAAGATTCCACAAATTATTGCAAGTACCAAAAAGATCATAGTCACCGCACAGATGATTGTATCCAATTGAAGAAAGAGATCGAGTTTCTGATCCAACGGGGGCAGTTGCGTCGCTACGTTGCTCAAGATAATCAGAACCGTGCTCCACCACTTCCACTACCTCTACAACAAACTCCTGTGCAACACCAGCAACCCATTGGGGAAATCAGAGTAATATGTGAGGGATTCGTAGGGGGTGGAGAGTCCAGTTCAGCCAGGAAGGCTCACCTGCGCAGAATCAGAGCTGGCGAAGCACAGGAAGTGCACACTGTGCCCAAGGCACCTCGGCTAAGCCCAACCATCACCTTTTCAAACTCAGACTTAGAAGGCTACCAATACACCTATGATGCCCATTGGTGGTAAGAGCTATTGTGGCTAACAGAACTGTTCACCGAGTTGTAATTGACAATGGGAGCTCGACAGACATCATTTTTGCTTCTGCGTTTGACAAAATGGGCATATGTAGGGAAAAGTTAGAACTAGACAGCACTCACCTATTGGGGTTCGTAGGAGAGAGGATATTGCCCTTGGGCTCAATCCAACTAGTCCTTACTATGGGAGATCCACCTTGCCAAGCCACAACTACAGTAAGATTCCTGGTGGTTGATGCCTTTTCTGCATACAATATTCTACTCGGGAGACCCTCTCTCAACGCGATGAAGGCAATCCTCTCAACCTATCAGCTGGTGATGAAGTTTCCAACGGAGAATGGAGTTGAAGTGGTCCGAGGAAACCAACGTGTAGCAAGGGAGTGCTACATGACCTCAGTGAAGCCGAAAATGTCCAGTTAGATGAGCTCGATATGAGGGACGAACTGGACACTAGGCCAACGCCAACAGAGGAACTAGAGCCTGTTCAACTTGATGAGGAGCCAAATCACCTTGTTTACGTCGGATCTAAACTAAGCAGGGAGATAAAAGAACTTCTCATCCAATTCCTAAAGGACAACATGAAGGTATTCACCTGAAAACAGGAGGACATGGAAGGGATTGACCCTTTGATTATCACACCTAAGTTAAGTGTGAATCTCACCTGTAAACCTATCAAGCAGAAACAAAGACGTTTTATCCCAGAGCGCCAGAACGCAATCAATGAGGAAGTCAACAAGCTCCTCCACGCCAAAGCCATCAAGGAAGTAGACTACCCTACCCGGTTAGCCAATGTGGTTCTTGTCAAAAAGGCCAATGGCAAGTGGCGACTCTGCATTGACTTCACAGACCTCAACCGAGCATGCCTCAAGGAAAGCTTTCCCGTATCTCGAATCGACCTAATAGTGGATGCCATAGTTGGACATGAGCTCCTCAGCTTCATGAACGCTTTCTCAGGATATAATCAAATCAAGATGGATCCAACCGACCAGGAGAAGACCTCCTTTGTGACTGAGTAGGTAACGTATTGTTATCAGGTTATGCCTTTCGGGTTAAAAAATACAGGAGCCACCTACCAGTGTCTAGTGAATCGAATGTTCCAAAGGTAAATTGGGACGACCATGAAGGTCTATATCGACTATATGTTGGTAAAATCATTGAAAGCGGAGCTCCACATTGCGTATCTAGCAAAATCGTTCTAGGTCCTTAAGGAATACAAGATGAAACTCAACCCTGCGAAATGTGCCTTCGGAGTGTCCGCAGGAAAGTTTATGGGCTTCATAATTAACAGTAGAGGGATTGAGGCTAACCCCAAAAAAGTTAAGGCAATCCTGGATATGCAACCACCGTCTAATGTGAGGGAGATCCAGCGCTTGACAGGAAGAATAGTTGTCTTAAGTCGTTTTGTCTCTAAATCGAGCGACAAGTGTCAGACTTTCTTTTAAATCTTAAAGAAGCAATTCCAGTGGGATACCCGGTGTGAAGAAGCATTCAACGCCCTAAAAGCCTACCTGAGCTCCCCTCCCGTTCTGGTAAGCCCCTTGCAGGGGGAAGTACTGACCCTCTATCTAGCTGTTTTAGATTTCTCGACTAGTGCAGCTTTGGTGAGGGAGCGAGATAGGTCTTAACAACCAGTCTATTATTGCAGCAGAGCTCTTAGGGGGGCAGAGGAGAGGTACCCAAAAATGGAAAAGCTTGCTTTAGTATTGGTAACTACGGCTAGGAGACTTAGAACAATTGCAAATCAGGGAAGAAGAAATCACAAGGAACAAAGGGAGAAAGAGGCCAAAGAGAAGTCGAAGAGTGAGGGGAAGTCAGTCGGTCTGAGAGTATTTAAAGCTAACAGTAGTAAGGGGTTCAAAATGGACAGTGCGCACAAGAAACAAGAAGAGAAATGATTGATGAGAACCGCCAAAATTATGTTCACACGGATATCAAGGACGTCTAATAAAGGTCTAATCTGCCTAAGTTTGAGCTCAGCCCTTGCCCAAGCTAGCTTGACCAAGAGCTGGGGGGCAACTAATGATACCGTGGGAAAACTTCTAAGTATGAGCTCAAGCAAAGAGGTCAGACAGGTCACGTAGAGCTCAGAGGGTCAGGGCTAGAGCTTCCCCCAGGCAAGACAATAGTGGAAAAGTAGAGAGGACAGTTGGATATTAGCAGAAAACCTACAGGCGACAAAAAATCGTATCCAAAGCAAATAACCCCAAAACAGCCAAGATCCTCCCCCAAAAATCAAGGAGGATCCCCCGAATAAATGACATGGATTTTGGTGCAAATCCCACGGAACTAGGAGTTGCTCTATAAATATTGTATGATGCCTCCAGTAAAAGATATATATGTATAACCCTAGGAAGACCAGACCAGAGGTTGAATGAAAACCGCATTCCGCACTTCGGAAACAAAAGAAATAAGAAGCTCCATTGAAGAGTGGACTAGCCGAGCTCCTGTGCCAGTGAACTACTATAATATCACTGTGCAATCTCCCCCAATTCTCCAATAATTTCTACTTGATTCTCATGAGCCTTGTAGCTCAGCTCTAGGTCAGCGGGTGCCATTCACTCTCTCTGCTCGTCTACGCGAGTTTATATATATATATATATATACTGAAGTATTTTTGGATTTTTAGTCGATATGAGATTGAGTTTCCACACATAAAAACACTTTTTTTTTTATTAAAATATTCTAACACTGTCTTCTGGTCCTCTATGGCTCAGAGCATGACCAAGCGCCCAATGAAGGGAATGCTTACTGTATTGGCCCTGTTACCATTCTCAACTGGTCCTTTGTTCGAAATGACCAGCCAAGGTAATTAAAATATAGATTTTTCTTTTTCTGTTTTAAAAAAAGGAAGCTGAGACTGGAGATAATAAGTTTTACCCTTTTTATTAATAATACCAATAACAACAAATTTTTGACATGATGTTATCCGTGTTACCAGATTGCTTGGCTATCAAGGACGAAGTAGAGGATCTTGAGAAAGGTGGCATCAATGTCATCCAAATCAATGAGCCAGCTTTGAGAGAGGGCTTGCCTCTCAGAAAGGCTGAGCATGCTTTCTACTTGAACTGGGCTGTCCGCTCCTTCAGAATCACCAACGTCGGTGTTCAAGACACTACCCAGGTGCTGCCCTCTTCCCCGAAGTCTGCTCTAATTTACATGTTTTACTATACTTTTATGCTTTTTACATCCTCTTGTTATTGTTTTATTCTTTGGCAATATGCTCATCTATTAATATCTCACAGATCCACACCCACATCTGCTACTCCAACTTCAACGATATTATCCATTCCATCATTGACATGGATGCCGATGTGATCACCATTGAGAACTCACGATCTGATGAGAAACTCCTGTCAGTCTTCTGTGAGGGAGTGAAGTATGGTGCCGGTATTGGCCCTGGTGTGTATGATATTCACTTTCCTAGAATACCATCAACAGAGGATTGCTGACCGAATTAACAAGATGCTTGCTGTGCTTGAAGCCAACATTTTGTGGGTCAACCCCGACTGTGCCCTTAAGACTCACAAATACGCTGAAGTTAAACCAGCTCTCCAAAACATGGTTGTTGCTGCCAAGCTCCTCCACACCCAGCTTGCCAGTGCCAAGTGAGGCGTTTAAGAGAACTTCGAGGTTCAAGTTTCTTCAAAATTGTTGTTTCTTATCAAAGAGTGAAAAGAAAAAAGGGAGGAGGAAAATGCTATGTTATTGATTCAATAATTGTGGGTTCGTGAGGAGAATTTGTGTAGGATAGTCTGCCCTGTGGGCATTTTGTTTTCCCATTGTTTTCTTGTTTTCTGGGCTTTGGTTTTTAAATTTATTCTGTATTCTTGAGGGGGGTTATGCCTTCAATTTATTTGAAAGGCACAAAACTGACAAGTGTACCTCAATTGCTGGGAATTTAAGAAAAATACAATCACTAGTTTGTTCATTAATCTTTGTAGGGAGTTCTCTCTTTTGTTATGCCTTCACACGAAACAAGGGCTGCTAATGTGGTGTTTTTTTTAATGTTTTATTGTTTGGATTAATTTATGCATATCTTGATTAATTTTCTCTTTGCTCTGATTAAAAACCAACCATCAAGGCCTAACCTTTTTTTCAAGAGCCTCTTACTCTAATCAGGAGGACAGGGAATCAATTTTTGCAAAGACAAAATAATTGTTATAGTCCATAGTTGAGGTATTGAATGTCTATTTTTTCATTACACGGCTCATGGGTAAAATTAAGTGTA